ATCTCTCAGGTGGGAGATAGCAACTTCACAAGCAGTAGTTGTGACGGCGGAGGTCACTCATGTGCCCACTGGGTTTTGCTGCCTGCCTTGTGGTGTGTACGTGGTAACCGTGAGCCATTTTTGTATGAGATGTCTTCGAACAGCATGAGTTTGGTTGACTGGTATACCACCATGGGGTTCTGCCTCCCGTCTTCTGGAGCAGGATCCAAGACGGTAGTTCCAGGGCTGAAGAGAGTTTGAGGGGTCGCAGCGATGTCCACGAACCAGAGCCAACGTGGGAAATGTTGGAAGGTCAGGAAGGTAGATGCAGAAGCAGAGGGTGGCGTGCCGGGGAGCGCGGCATGTTTGGGGAACTCCTAAACAGTGTGATGTGTCTAGAGTTTCGAGTGGGGGGTGGGCAGGTGTGGAGTGAACGTGAGAAGGAAGGCGAGGCAGGGGCAAGATACGGGAGGCCTTTTCATTCTCTGTCGTGGGGCTGTGACCTTTAAACGACAGGCGTTGGGAAGCAGTGCGATTCGATTGAATAGGATGGAGAGTTTAGGGCTGTGGGGAAAGAGGGTAGGTCCAGTACACGTTCAGGATATTAGGAGAGATTGAAGTACACATTGGATTGTCTCATTCGGTCCCCACATGGACCCTGATATCCATACTGTTACCGTCTCCGTTTTACCATTTTACAGGGCAGGAAGCAGGTGTAGAGAAGTACAGCAGTTTGTCCAAAGTGGGGTCAAGGCTAGACTCTGTCTCTCCGTTTCATCCTCCAGGGGAACAGTGGTTTTTAGAAGAGAATCTGAAGAGTTTGGGTAGGGCCCAAGGAGTTAGACAGAGCCCGGCAGTTCTTAGGTTGTTTATTTTTTGTTTTTCTCTTGGTTGTGATTTATAAATATAGAGCAGAATGTCCCTTTTTTTCCCTGCAGTAAATTAACGTTGTTAAATACTCCCCACAGCATGTTCTGGTTAAGCAGACAAACAGTGATAACAGTATCGTTCGTTTTGGAAATAAATGGTGAATGCTTGGTAATTACTCACCAGAGAAGCATTTCAATTTGCAGAGGTATTTTGGTGTGTCCAGTTCTGATTACAAAGTTGCATAGTACTGCAGCGGAATAACATGCAGCTGTTCTCCTTTCTTTATTAATTTTAAGGATTTGGGTATTTAATTCACCCAGAAACACAGGTGACACAGCCCTTCCACCCCAAGACACCGCCTTTAAACCAACCTGTCTTACCATGGCCTTTGTAGCCAGGAGCGCTGTTACAGTGAGTTCTGGAATTCTTTTTCTTTCTTTCTTTTTTTTAATAAAAGATTTATTTGTTAGGAAGAGAGAGAAATAGAGAGCACAAGCAGGGGAAGCAGCAGAGGCAGAGGGAGAAGCAGGCTCCCTCAGAGCGAGCTTGATCCCAGGACAGTGCAGGACAGATGCATAAGGGCTGGCACACCCAGGTGCCCCATGGGGCTTCCTTTCTTAAAGAAATAGGACCCCACAGAAGTGGGGATAAATTGCAGCAGAAGGAGTTTTAGTTTCGGTACCCGAAGGAGAGTTTTTAGTATCGAAAGTTGCCAGGTCTAGAATCCCTATGGAGAGAAGTGAGATGGCATTTCTCGAGCTAGCAGTAGCTGTGCTCAAGTTTTGAGGCATTCATTTGTTTGGCCAGACGTTGGCTGCGCGCCACCCTGGGCCAGCAAGGCCCCAGGCTTGAGCCGGCTGACTATATAGGAGAACGACCTCTCCTGAGAGCCTGGTGACGGCTTCCTGCATGGCTTGTTGAGGGAGGGAGTCACTGGATGATAAAGCATGGATCAGTAAAATAAACAGATTTAAGCAGATTCTTTTTCCCAGAAGAAACGTCTGTATACTTTGGTAATGAAAAACTTGTGTGTGGCAAAACATCTGTTTGGCACCTGGCTAGGTGGAATTTTACCTTCAGATCTTTAATGGATGACTTTTTTTTTTTTGGCTTGTTTATTTCCTGGTTGATAATTGGGATGGTACTGCGGTTTCTGGGATGACAGTATGAAAATGAATTAGCTGATATTGTTAGTATCTTCTTTTTTAAAAAGGAATTAATTAGTACACTTTTGCTCCCAAGATTATGTAAGATTAATATAGTCTTGTCTGTTTTTAAAGGACTTTTCACTTATTTATCGTCATTTTCCTAAATGCCTAGGAAGTTAGCTTATAAGCAGCTTTCCTCTCTGCTTGTCGGGAAGCAGCAGCTTGGAGAGGACGTGCATTTTCTTTCAGGGCAGGAGCGGTGGGTGTGGGGTTGGAAAGGGAGGGAATTACAGGTTGGAGATGGGGAGATAGGCTAGCTTTTACAGTTGTCCTGTCCTTGGGAGAGACCAGGGCCTTGTGGATGGACTGAGCCAATCTGTGGGAAGTGGAGCTTCAGAACTGGTCACTCATTGTCCAGAGGGGCGTCCGGGGGAGGGAGGAATCAAGGTTGGCCAGCTGTGGAATTTTCACTGACTTCGGCTTAGGCTGTGTAACGGCCGTACATACGTACGTATGTTTGTTACATTATTGTATTCTGGGCGAACAGTGGACAGTGTCCACACCCAGGAGATTAGAATTAGAACTTGAATGGTGCTTTGCCCTTCCGGGGGACTGTTCTGAACCATGAAATAAAGTGTGACTGCTGCGTACTGAAGGCAGGGGGCTGAACTGCCACAGAGACCGAGAAGGGTGAATGTTTGTCCTGAATGCTCAAGACCTTTCATCATGGCCTCTGATTGCTTTCCCATCTAAATTTTGTGTGTAAATGGTTGAAATGCAGTAGCTACACTCATATTTTCTCCTGGACAACTTCTCTAGTAGTGGGACTTGGATCGTCCTCCGTGATCACCGTTTTAGGAGTCTGCATTTCATAGGGGTCAGAGTGTGTCTTTTTAACCACAAGTGGGTGTCTCTGGAGCTCTGAGTCCAGCTTTGTATTGATGTGGCCTGTGGGGTAAGCGGACAAGCTGGTGATGTTTTGTGGAGACAGAGGTTTTGGAGAGCAGATACTGCTACCTCCCGGTCCTTCTCGCGTGGTTAGTGGGGAGTTCTAGTAGCTTGCCATGCAGTGACCCAGAGACACTGACTCGCTTTCAAGGTCAGCTCATCTGCTGTACCAACACTTCCTTTTTAAGCTCACATCTTTGCTTTTGGATCGGAAATAGACTTAAAAAAAAAAAAGCCATAGGATTCTTTTATTTTTAAATATTGTATTTTTATTTTTATTTTTTTGAGAGAGAGAGAGAGCAAGGAAGAACACGAGAGTAGAGGGCGCAGGGCCAGAGGGAAAGGGACACAGAAGCCCAAGCAGTCTTCGTGCTCAGTGCTGAGCCCAGCGCAGGACTGGATCCCACAACCCTGAGACTGTGACCTGAGCCAAAATCAGGAGTCAGGTGTTGAACCAACTGAGCCACCCAAGTGCCCCTGATTTTAAATGTTTTAAAAGACTAACTGAAACTTCTAAATTTTTTAAATAAAATACCCAGCATTAAACGGATTTTATGATGGATGAGAAAATCATTGATGCTTATTTATAAATTTTTTTCAGCTCTATCTGAAAAGGTGTAGTTGAGAACTGTATTAACAGAAGCAAAATTGTTCATTAGCTTTTCATTTGGATTATATTTTGTAACCGGGAACGCTGACTTTAGGACAGGTAGAGCTAACTTGGGTTCATTGTTTCTCATTTAATCCCTTTGAGTCTCTAAAGTAGTTTTTCACTGACTTCCAGTTTTGGAGCAAGTCCTTGAAGTAACAAGGAAGGTAGAGAAATCAACTCCAAATTTCTTTGGCTTACAAGCCTTTCTGTTTCTTTCTAAAAAAATTATAATCCGTTTTACATTTTTTGTACAGAAAACTTTGCATGTTCGCAGAAGTAGACAGAATGATACAGTGAGTCCCCATCAGCTTCAAACACGGACCATCCTCCTGTCTGTCTCAGTTGGCTGAGGATTTCAGTCGCCCTGTGGTCTCTGAGGTGTTTCCACTTTTAGGCAGAAAGGATATTACTCTTGCATTTGCTTACTGGTTGCTAGGGACTGGGCACTGGAAATGGGTTTGGTGGTGGGGCCGCTGCCAGGGTGAATTATGTTGAATTTCTGCATCTCCTAGTAAGATCCGCTAAGTGTCTCCTCTGACGGGTAACACGGACATCGTGTGTTTCCTCGGAATTACCGATTAGCATTCCACCACCTTGCGAAAAGACATCGAGAGAATTTAAAATTACGTGTATATGGTAAGATTTAAAAAGAGGAAGAAACGAGTTTAAAGGGTGAAGGTCATCGTGCAGTGAGAAGCCACGTACAGAGAATCCACGACAAGCGTGACGTGAGGCTTTACGCGTCGTCAGTTTGCTGCTGAACTTTCTGGGGGCCACAGTCAGACACAGTCAGCCTTGTGTTATCCTCCAGATTTCTTTTTTTCGCTGAAGACACATTTTCCCCGCAGGATCTTCTGGAAGGAGCCATCAGGGCGACAGGTGGAGGAGTAATTTGGTCTCCGAGCAAATGGCTCAAAGCACTATTTTGACTTGTTTTGGGGCTTTGCAGATAGAATAACCAGCATCTTACATCTTCCTGAAGTCTGTTATGTATCAGGCTTAGTGCCTGGTGATTTATTTCTTTTAATCTTAACACAACCCTGCTCCCCAGATGCTACCTTCCTCCCTTTTCAGGTGAGGAAATTGAAATTCAGAGAAATGACTGGGTGAATTTCAGCAGCCGTCTGCCCTCAGATCGCTGAGGATGATTAGCAGCCGGATGAGGGGGTTGTTGATTTACAGTTGGTGGGTGTGTGTGTGACTTTTTTGGAAAGAAAAGGGAAAAATGAGGCTGGCAGTTCTTTAATTGCTGTCTGACTGGGAACACGGTTGCTTTGGAGGAGCCCGGGTCTGGGGGCCGGGGTTCGCGAGGGCCCTGTCCTCGCCGCTGTGTGGTCGTGAGTGCCGTGCTGTTACTCTTGTGCCCTTGCCCGTGCTGACTTGTTCTTTTAATTTTCATGCAGAGAGAGAAGGAGCAGCAAGAGGAGAAGAGCGGTTTGCTCAGGAGCTCGGGGAAGAACGGCCCCGGCGAACGAAGAGCTATGATAACCCCCGCTCTCCGGGAGGCCCTCACTAGACAAGGTGTGGCTCCTCGGGCGGTGCGGTCCCAGGACGGCCCTCGCAGCCTTCTGATTTCATACCTAGACCAGGAAGCCTAAATTGGGACTGCCACGGGGGAGGAAGGGCTAGGAGGTCCTTCTGGGGTCAGCCCAGCAGCTGTGTCACCGTATAACTATCGAGGGACCCCCCTCTTGTTCCCACAGATCACGGGTGTGTGGCCTGCTGGGCCAGCACGTTTCCCCTCTGCTTGGCTTATTGGGTTGTTAGCGTCAGTGTGGCTCAGGTATGCAGACGGAAGATGCCGTCGCGGGCTTCTTTATGTATCGTCGTTTATTAAGTGGAAGTTATTAAATGCAGGAGAAAGCTCGTGTTGCGATGAGGCTGGATCGCTTAGAAGTGTTTTCTGTAGCAAATGTCTGGGGTTCTGTGGTCATCACCTACTAAGGAGGCTATAGCTTGAGATCAAATAATAGTTTTGATTTCCTGAGGAAGAAAGAGTGGTCAGTTGGGAGTCAGTAGACTGATTTTCTCCCCTCACTCGAGTCTTTCTGTATTTATTGAGAAGCTTTTGTGTAATAGTGTGGCAAGGCAGACAAACCTACAGTATCCCCTTCAAGGAGCCCTCAGCCTATTAGAGGAGACAGACAGGAACATTCAGGTCATGTGTATATATCTTTGTGTAATGTTTGTGCTCATATATATATCAGGTATATGTAGTATGCTTTTTAATAAGGATGTTGAGATTATTTACTCTTCAGAGTGATTTTATGATAGGTTCAAGTCTTTCCTCTAGCTGTCGGTTTTCTACTTGTTTCATGTGTTCTTTGATTTCCTTCTTTCCTGTTTTCTGCCTTCCTTACATTACTTTTTTATGATTTGGTTTTACATCCTTGTTGGCTCATTAGTTACAGCACTGTCTTGTCGTTTGGTGGCTGTTTGCGGTTCTACGCTGTGTCTCTGTATCCTGTCCCAGTGTATCTTTGAGCCGATACACCGCTTCCTGGGGGAGAAGCGGCTTCAGGAATAACGTCTCTAGCCCCTTGGCCAGCCTCTAAGCAATTGCTACACATTTTACTTTTACGTGTGTTATAACCCTACACTACGCTGTTGTTATTTTGGTTTGAATAGTCAGTCATCGACTCAGTTAAATTAAAATAATTAGTAACAGGCTCACATAATTCTTTATGTCAATTTATTGAATTAATTAAAATGATTAGTAGCAGTCGTACATAACTGACTCTGGTAGGTACCACGCTTGGGCTTCTCGTTCCCTCGCGTAGATCGGTATTTGCCCAGCAGCCCTTTCTTCCTGCCTGACGGGCTTCGTTTGGCATTTTGTGTCATGTGGGCTTTTTGGTGATTAATTATCTCAGCTTTTGTGTCTCTGAAAGCGGCTTTATTTTGCCTTCATTTTTGAAGGCTGTTGTTTGATGGGTGTGGAATTGTCGATGGACGCCTTTTCCTCTTTTGGTGCCTTCCAGGTGTCAACTTGCGCCCGTTGCCTCTGATGAAGCTTGTGTCCGTCTTTCATTTGTTCCTTTGGATGTGATGTTCTCACCCGTGGGCTACCTTTAAGATCTTCTCTTAATTACTGATTCTGAGCAATTCCGTTACAATGTGTTTCAACGTAGTTTTCTTCATGTTGCTTTTACTTGGGATTTGTTGAGCTTCCTGGTTCTGTAGATTTTATAGTTTTAATCAAATTTGGACAAATTTTGGCCATTATTTCTTCAAAAATTTTCCTGTCACTGCCTCCCTCTCCTCTTCCTTGGGGACTTCAATTTCATGAATCTGACCTATAGCTCACTGATACTCTTTTCATTTAAAATTCTTTTTTCTGTTCTAGCTTTCATTTTTGCATAGCTTCTGTTGCTGTGTCTTCGGGTCCGATGTAGTAATCTTTTTTCTCTGATGTCTGCTCTTCCATTCTATCTAGTGCGTTTTTCAGCTTCCGGGTTTATAGTCTTCATCTGTGGAAGTTGAGTTTGGGTCTTTTTATAGTTTCCATGTCTCTACTTAACTTTTGAGCCTACATATTATAATTAACAACTGTTGTAATGTACTTCCAACCCCTGTGTCATTTCTGGATCAGTTTAGTTGCTAACGGGTTATTTCTTCATCGGTCATGTTGCATGTTTGGTAATCTTCAATGGCATGCCAGATCTAATTTTACCTTATTGGGTGCTAGATATTTTTGTATTCCCATAAACATTCTTAAGCTTAGTTCTAAGATGACGAGCAGTTACTTAGAAGCAGTTTGAGCCTTTTAATCTGGCTTTTATGATTTGTCAAGTGAGACCACAGCTTACCCACTATATGGCTAATTACTTCTGATTATCGGGGCATCAGTGCCTTGTGAATCTTAAGCTTCCGACTGGTACGACCAGGGACAGTTCCCAGCCAGCTGAGTGCCAGGCGTACCTCTAGGCCTTTCAGGTGATTCTTTCCAATACTCCATGAGTTTTTTTTCTCACTATTGCACTAGGCAGTCCTCAGCTAGGTATTTCTGGGAATCCTCTGCAGATTCTTGGGTTGAATCTCTGCATAGCTCTTGACTCTCTGGTACTCCATTCTGCAAACTCTAGCCATATGGGCTCCCCGGACTCTTGGCTTTCATGTCCTCACCTCAGAGAGTACTGAGCTGTTCTCAGATTGCCCCTTTCCGTGGCATGACCTGGAAACTTGCAAGGCAATAAGCTCTGGGAACGGTAGGGCTCATCTTTTGTGTTTCCCGTCTCCCTATTACTGTCCTGATGTTTCATGTCTTGGGGTTCATATATTTTGTCCCATTTTTGGCATTTCAGATGGGAGAGTAAATCCTCTGTCACTTGATCTTGGTTAGAACAGAATTGTGCACCGTGATTTTTAGCAGCTGCAGACCCTTGGCTTATCTTGGCATGGTGGTCAGCCGCAGGTCTGTCCGTCCTGTACTCTGCGGTCTTCTTCATACCCATCTAAATGAACATTTTGTAAAACCCTGTGTATCTTGGAAGAGGAGAATGTGAAGAACTAACGTAATAGACCGTGATTTCTATGATGATGGTCTCAGGAACATATAATATAGAAATCCAAAAGAAGAACTAGAATTTTCTCCGGGAATCTTTTAAATGCTTGTTCTGTGTCTGAGCTTACTCACTCCGTTGGACTCAGTTCTGTCTTCCGATAGATACGGAGAGCCTTATTGATGTGCGGGATGTTTACGCGCAGGTGGAAGAGGGTAAAAGACAAAGCCGTGTAATATTGCTGCTAGAGACTTGTAATCCACATTGACATTGTTCCGTGAATCATCACCCTGTGAATATGGGTGTTTAACCAGCCACGGAGCCACTTATGCCACCATCCAGACTAGATTTCTCCTTTTGCCTCATTCGTCTGCAAGTCAAGAGTCTTTTGTGTAAGAGACTCCTAATTGTGGCTTGTTACTTGAAGCCTTGTGAGAAACTTTATTAAATGCTTCCTGAAATCAGAATGTTCTACTTGTTTGCTCTTCTGGTCCATTACAAAAGGAAATGTGATCACTTTGGCATGGCTTTTCCACGCTTTTTATGTCTTCCGTGGCTCACGAATTTTAAATGCCGGGTTATGGAGTGGTGCTGAGAATTCATGTTAGGTTATGGGTCCTGGAATTTTATCTTCCACTTCTTGGGGCAGTGTTTCCTTATTTCGGTCTTCTTTTGGCCGTCTGATTCTTCATCTTTTTTCAAAGATTACGGTCGCAAGTTCCCCAGTCTGTTGTTCTTGCTTTTGCTTTACGGCCCAGCATGTGTTTTTTGTATTTTTTTTTTTTTTAAGATTTTATTTATTTATTTGACAGACAGAAATCACAAGTAGGCAGAGAGGCAGGCGGAGAGAGAGGAGGAAGCAGGCTCCCCGCTGAGCAGAGAGCCTGATACAGGGCTCGATCCCAGGATCCTGGGATCATGACCTGAGCCGAAGGCAGAGGCTTTAACCCACTGAGACACCCAGGTGCCCCTTGTATTTGTTTTTAAGAAAGTTTCCCTGAGTCCTCCAAAATCACGTGCATTCAGTAGGTGTCATTCTGTAGGTGTCGCGTGTAGTACTCTGTGTTCTTTGTCACCTTTACTGTGTTGTTTAGGTCTTAGAACTCAAGTGAGTTTTTGTCTGTGGGATCTCTTAGATACTGAAAGATGTGAAAAGTTTCTATGATTTTGGATTAGCCTCTTGTTTCCTTATGTATTTCTAGTTTGTGTTATTAAATGCATATACCTTTTAAGGTTTTGATCATCCTGGTGAAGTAAACCTTTAAACCTGTTTTTTGCCACTGGATTGTTGCTTGCCATCATTTAAGGAAAGAAAAATGATTTTGTTACAGTTTTTGAATCACCTTTTAATATGAGGCTTTGAATCAATTCAATGTTGTGTTCTTTGTTTTTCTGTTTAGGGTATCAGTTGATTGGGAGCCACTCCGGGGTGAAGCTTTGTAGATGGACAAAGGTATTTATTTTTATTTAAATGTTATTTCTGTTTCATGCAACTTTTGTATGGCTATGATACGCAGCCAATGAATTTTACCATTTTAAAGAATGATTTACGTTTAATGTAATGATTTTGAACAAATTTGCTAAACGAGTTCAGCTCATATTGATGGATGTTAAAAAAAAGCCCTTTTCCACCACCCAAATTAAGATACATACCGGCCATGTTCCTCACCCTGGTAAGTTCACCGTGTCCGTATCTAGCCAGCAGCGCCCCCCACAGCCAGGAACAGTTGTTCTAGTTGCTGTCGCTAGTTTAGTTTTGCCTGTTCTAGAATTTCATACGAATGGAATCATAATGTGTGTTTTTTGGCAAGTGGATTCTTAAACTGAACGTAATGTTTCTGAGGGTCGTCCGTGTTGTAGTACATGTCAGTAATTTATCTGTTTTTATTGCTGAGTACCGTTCAATAATGTGGAAGTACCACAGTGTTTAATCTGTTGAAAGGCAGTGGCTTGCTTTCAGTGTTTGGCTATTATGACTAAAACTGCCATGAACCTTCTTATACAACACTTTGTTATGAACATATATTTCGGCTTCCTTTGGGTCCACATCCCAAAGTGGGAACTGCTAGGTCGTAGGGTAGGTATATATTTTACCTTCGTAAGAAACTCCCAGTCTATTTTCAGTGTGGCTGTACTGTTTCATACTTGGATTGGCAATTTCTGAAAGTTCCAGTTGGAACATGATATCACCAGCCTGTGATATTGAAAGTCTTTTTAATTTTAGCCATTCTAGTGAGTGTAAAGTGCTGTCATTGTGGCTTTAATTTGCATGTTGCAGATGACTGCTGATGATGAAGCATGCCTTTTTTCATGTGCACATGGGCTGTTCTATTTGTGAAGTGTCTGTTGTCCAAATTAGGTTGTTTAACATCATATTGTTGATTTGTAGGAGTCCTTCCTATTGTGGAAATGAGTCGTTTCCCCCAATATGCATTGTGAACATTTTCTCCTAATCTGCGGCTCCCTTTTTACATTTCCCAAATGGTATCTTTTGAAGTCTTAAATTTGAATAAAGTCCAGTTTGTCTTTTTTTTAATGGTTAGTGCATTTTGTTTCTTTTAGTTTTTTGTTTGTTTAGTGTTTTTTATATATTAAGGAATCTTTGCCAACTTCAAAGTCACAAAGATACTGTGTCTTTTTTTTTTTTTTTGTGGAAGCTTCATATATAATTTTTTTTTTTTTTTTAAAGATTTTATTTATTTATTTGTCAGAGAGAGAGAGAGAGCCGAGCACAGGCAGACAGAATGGCAGGCAGAGGCAGAGGGAGAAGCAGGCTCCCCGCCAAGCAAGGAGCCCGATGTGGGACTCGATCCCAGGACCCTGGGATCATGACCTGAGCCGAAGGCAGCTGCTTAACCAACTGAGCCACCCAGGCGTCCCCATATATAATTTAAACTATGTTTTAGGTCTTTGATTTCACCTCGAATTGATTTTTATGAGTGGTGTGGGACAAAGGTCAAGACTTACTCCTTTACCTGCCCCCATGAGGATATTGAAAAGAATTTCCTTTAACCATTGCATTACTTTAGGCCTTTGTAAAATATATCAGTCATTGTCTATGGGTAGTCCCATTTCTGGGCTCCTTATTCTGGTCATTGGTGTCTTTGTCTATCCTTTTGCCAATACCACATTGTCTTAATAACTGTGGCTTTGTAATAAGTCTGAAATTACGCAGTGTAAGTTCTCTGTCCTTTTTTCTTTTTTCTTTTTTTTAAATTTCCAATATAGTTTCCACCCCTCTGGTTCTTTTGCGTTTCCATATAAATTCTAGAATCACCCTGTGAATTTCTGTTGTATGCATTTATTCTATCTCCTCAGATTCTGTGTTTGTCTCTTTGGCATCCACTCATCACAGGGCCAGTTAGGTTAACTATATTTTCTTAGTGTATCCTCGATGCTCTGGCTTTTGGGGGCCTTACAGACCTGGGGAGAAACTGTCCCTCCCAGGGCCAGCTAATTCCTAAAGATACCAACAGCCTGCCTGAAGTATGCCTTTCATGTGCAAATCACCCAATCCGGAATCTTCAGCCTTCGGGTACCTCCTTATCTAACCCACACACCAGGCCAGTATTCTCCCTGTGCTGCATTATTCCAGGGCCAGGTACAGGACTGGAGACAGTGCTACAGCCTGAATTACTCAAATAAGCCAGTCCTGCATTGTTTACTCTGTCCTGGCTTGCCTTTCCTGCAGAAACCCCAATAAAAGTTCTGGCCTAGGCTTTCCCCTCGCTCCTCTCTCTGCCTCCTGAGCAAACCTGCTGCTTCTCTGTCACCCTGTGTGGTGTGGGTGCCCCCCTTGTCTTGAGAGCTGTAAGTAGTGTCTTCTTTCGTTGGCATTGGCTCTCCAGGTTGGCTGGCACTCAGTCACTTCCATAAATTCAAATCCCATGGGTCCAAGTAAGATGGTATTTTTAAACAGCTTTATTGAAATATAATTTACCTATCATACAGCTCCTGCATTTAAAGTGCACAGTTGAATGGGTTTTAGTATATTCACGGGGCTGTGCAAATATTATCACGGTCTGACTTTAGAACATTTTTGTCCCCTCTGAAAGAACTCATGCGCCCAGTAACAGTCCGTCTTCATTGTCCCTTCTCCTCCCAGCCTTAAAGCCCCATTAATCTCCTTACTATCTTCATAAATTCCCCTCACCGATGTTCGCACATTATGTGGCCTTCTCTGTCCGGCTTCTCCCATTTAGCATCATGTTTTCAAGGTGCATGCGTGTGATAATATATATCGGTATTCCATTCCTTTTTATGGCCAGTAATAGTCTGTGTATAGCTATAGCCCATTTTGGTGTTGTCCGTCCGTTGGTGGACATCTGGTTTGCTTCCACTTTTTGGATTTTATGAATGATGCTTCTGTGAACATCATTATATGTATAAGTTTTTATGTGGATGTGTTTTTTTGTGCTTTGGTTATATACCTATGAGTGGAATTTGTGGGTCATGGTTACTATGTTTAAATTGTTTGAGGGACTGCAAAACTGTTTTCCAAAGTGGCTGTACCATTATATTTTATATTCCCACCGGCATTGTACAAGGGTCCCAGTTTCTCCACAACCTGCTAATGTTTGTTCTTTTCCCTCTTTTTGATTATAGTCATCCTCGTGGGTGTGAAGTTGTTATCCCACAGTGATTTTGATTTGCATTTGCTTTTCCCTTAATGACAAATGTCGTTGACTCTGTTTATGTGTACTTACTGGACATTTGGGAATCTTCTTTGGAGAAATGTCTGTTTGGATCCCTGACCGTTTTAACGTTAGGTTCTTTGCCTTTATATTGTTGGGCTGTAAGAGTCGTTTATGTCTTCTGGATGCTAGTTCTTTTTTTTTTTTTTTCCCTAAGATTTTATTTTATTTGAGAGAAAGCGAGAGAGAGTGTGAGGGTATGAGCAGGGGAAGGGCAGAGGGGAGCCGACTCTCCACTGTGCAGGGAGCCTGATGCATGCTGGGCTTCATCCCAGGACCCTGGAATCATGGACCTGATCTGAAGGTGGTCACCTAACCAACTGAGCCACCCGGGTGCCCCAGGATACTAGTTCTTTATCGCATGTATGGTTTAACTCTCCCACTGCTGTTGGCGGCCCCGTTGCCAGGGGTGGAGTTGCTGTAGGCCTCTGGTAGCTGGGCTTCCGGTGTCGTGGGACCGCCACTGCCGTCTTCCAGGCCTTCTCTCAGCCTGGCTTGTCCCCATAGAGAGTACTGCCCACAAAGATCTATGCTTGCAGTTTGGTTAGCCCACGCCTGGCCGTTTTGAATAAAACCAGACTTTCTTCTCTAGGCATGCTTGGCTTCTTATGTTCTCTTTTCCTGTTCTTAAAAATTTCTACCCTCAGTTCACACTACTGCCTTCTGATGTCTGTCTTTTACTTCGCATTTTTGTGTGTCCTGTCCTTCATGACTCCCGCCTCATCTTGTACCTGGCGAGGAAACAACCTTTTGTCTTCACCTTTCTCCCAGAATGGCCCTGCCCTCGATGTCATAGTCCGTATTTGACCTTTGCTTGGTGCCTCAGTGCGTTGATGGCCCTCCTTAATAAGGAGCCTGCTGCCCCAGCCCCTGTTGTTTTCGGAATATTGTATCTTCTCAACATTCCTCTGAGCGGTTTCTGGTGCTGTCTGCTCCTTAGTCCTGTTGCTACTGCCTATGAATATTTGAGAAACTCTTCTACCTTTTCTCACTGCTGCTTTTCTGCCTTCACCCTTAGGGGCAGGAACATTCTGGTGACACTTCTGACACTCTGTCATTCAGCATATTCTTGTGCTCAACTGTCTTTTATCTTTTTTTAAACCCTTTTAACATCCAGTATTTGTCTCTTCCAATCCAGTGATTTTCAGTAATGTCAGACTCAGTGCTTTCTGCTTATAACCAGTGTTTTATAATTCCCTTTTACTATTCTAGATTAAATTCACAGATTTACAAATATAATTTCACGTACGTAATTGAAAAAGTCCGTGTTCTCTTCTAGCTGTGATGTAAGGACAGAGAAAAGGAAGTACTTTATATTAAAATAGTTTATATTTCTTACAAGATGCTTAGGCACTACTTTGTTAGAAGGCATAGTAAAATAGGAGCTACTTCTACCTGCTTATAATGGACAAGTTTATAGTGAAGAGAGATAAACAGAAGTTATTCTGTATAAGAGGTAATAGCAGCCAGAATTATTTAGGTATAATAGCAGAAGGAGGAAAATAACCCTAATCGAAATAGGGCTACATACCCATCAATTGTAGGCTATCAAATTAGAAAAATGAAAAATGTAGATGTACTTGTAAGTGAGTGGTATCTCATTTGTGAGTGTTGAGAAAGAAAAATCTTCTATGTTGTCATTTGGGAGGAGTGGAGACAAATTGTCATAGAAAATTCCTGCCTTGAAATTCCACATCTTGTTGAGAGCCACAGTCTGTGTCCAATTTGTAACAAAATCCTTTAAGTGTCAGTAGGAACA